AAGAAAAAAACAACAACTTAAAGGAATAAGTATAGTTTGCTATAAGAGGTATTATGAATAATACTTTTTATTTATTTATTTATTTTTGTAGAAAGTGATTTATTTAGAGAGAGAGAAACAGGAGAAGGAGAGAGAAATAAACAGCTAACTCACACACTGAGTGAGAGAATCCAGAAAGATGGAATCCAGGAGAGGAAAGCAACTTCCACACTGAGCAGAAGGGAATAGAAAGATGGAGTTTTAGGAGGGGAAGACAGGTTTCCACTACGGGAGTGTTCATGGAAGGGGACTCCAGAGGGAAAATCCAAGATAGAGAAAAACAGCTTCTACGAGCACGAGAGTGTTTGTGGAAGGGGATCCAAACATGGAGTCCCATGAATAATACTTTTAACAGTTGAATGTAGCTTGGTTGTTATTGCTTTCTAGTACTGCGGGATAGACACACAGTGTAGTCTAATTTCAACACAGCAAGAGAATGTCACCCTGTACTAATAGAATTCTGATCTTATCACTCCCTTGGGTAAACTCTTGGCTTCTGCTATTAATATCCAACACGTGACTTAGCAATGTGTATTCACAAAATCAACACCTTTTGAAAATTAGAACTCCCAGTGTCATACTCAAATCACAGAGCACACTGAAGGCAGAGCAAGCACCTGACTCTATTTGGAATTCTCCATTCTCCTCTCTATATATCCGTAGTGACTCTGGAATCACATTTGGAATCACCAAAAACAAAAGGAAAGTGACATGACTGCTATATGCCCTAGGAAGACTAGTGAAATATTAAAAATCTTAAAACTCTGAATGCTGCTCATGAAGCAAACGCACATGGCTACAGAGTCCTGGTGTAACATTCCCAACCCCAGACTGGGTGCCCTGGCCCCACCTCTGAGCCCTCAGAGTCCTCTGTGTACATTGGTCCTGTTATATTTGTCCCATCCTATCATAAGCATTTGTTTATGGATCCATTTCCCCAGCTAGACCTTTGATTTCCTCTAGCATAGGGGCTGTGTCTTATTCTTCTTTGATTTTATAGCCTAAAACAGTACCTGGCATAGAGAAGGCATTTATTTGTTGAATTAAATCAAATTGAACCCTGGCCTTAGCAACAGAGCTCTTACCCAACATAATAAAAATTTAACTTTCTTGATTTTATCTTCAAAGTACTTTGCTAAAGTAGAATGACATGGCATCTTGCCCAACTCTCCCCCCAGGCTTTTGGCAAACATGAGATTTCTTCTAGGGAAAACCTGTCAATCTCTGGTCGACTTGAGTTTAGATTTCAAAGGTTAAAATTCAGACAGTGCCCTAGAACTCCAAAAGCATTTATGATGAGTGAGGGCCCCATTCAAGTCCCCTGGTTTCTCTTCCCTAGGCTTGATTCAAGCCAGGCCAATATTGGTTAATGGCAGCTCTAACCTTTCCTCTTTAGAATGTTTTGCTAAATGTGTGTGGAGAAGCAAAAATGCTCTTGAATTCTTGATTCCTTAGGATCTTCTCAAGAAGCTTCTAAAATGGCTGTATAGAGTTACTTTGGCATGCCATAGTAGATAAGCATTTTGGCTTTGAAATCATATTGATCTGGGTTTAAACTCCAACTGTAACTTTTGGCAGCTATGAGACATGGGGTGTGTTATTTTATCTATCTGAACTTCAGCTCTCTTATTTAAAAACTGAGGATAAAGTAGCTACCTATTGAGATTGTTGTATACTTATATAAATTTGTGTAATATAGCAGGATTCCTGCACATAGAAAGTGCTGAAGAAGTAACAGATGTTACTATTATGGATGATAATAATTATCTTATACAAGAGTCTCCAGAGAGAATAAGGCCCAATGCTGCATATGCCTAACTACCCTAGATTTGAATGACACATCTTCCCTGGTATTTTTGCTTCCATATACCCTCATCTACAGTGAGACCACAAGGAAAAATACGCTCTCCTTGGTCAATAGAACTTCTACCACCAAAGAGAGAAGACTCATCCCTAATAAATAACTCAAATATTCCCATTTGAACTAACCTTGTACATATCCATACAGTTTTTTCTCTTCTTTGGAAATCGACCCATGTTTGACCTCTTATCTACAGCCATTCATTTCCAAATATCACTAATAGTTTAGGATTGAAGTCCCAAAACACCACAGTTGAGAAAAGATAGAGTAATAGAGACTAGACTTACTCACCCAGCTGAAATAACTAAAAAACAGAGCAATATATATAAAACAGTAGTTTTCAAGATGTTGAACATCAGCAACAAAAATATGTTTCCTGAGAAGTGAAAACAAATGAAATGACTTCTACAGTTGCTGTAACTTTCTGCCTAGAGAGAGTTTACAGGCTACAAAGCATGGAAGGGGAACCCAGGTAGACTCCATCAAACTTCCTGAGACAAAGTTAGAAGTACAGAGAAGATAAGCTGACCTGTGTTTCCAGGACAGAGTACCAGAGATGAATGAGCTGCAGAGAGAGAGAACTTGGGAGATGTGCAGAGGGTGCCTGAGTTTTCAGCTGAGTACTGATTAGCACATAAATGTAAGGAAACTATGTATGAATAGGAAAAGAACCATTTGAAAGCATTTTAAGGAGCAACACTTGGAATTCAAACAGAGCCAAAAAAACCCAAAAAAACAAAAAACAAAACAAAACAAAATTCCTGTTCCTACCAGCCAGAATGAAGAATATCACAATTTACAGAAAGTTGGGTAGATGTTCCAAAAAAGTGAAGCAGAGTTAGCCTTGGACTTAACATAACTCTGGTCTTACCTAGTAACGTTTAACAGCAAACCTAAAATAATAAATTGTTTCCAAATAACTGCCTAAAATATCTCAGTATCTACAGGAATACAAAAACATACAGCCACCCAACAAGGTGGAATTGTCAATGTCTGGCATTTAATTAAAACTTCCAGGAATGCAAATAAACAGGAAAATATAATGAAGAGAAAAACCAGTAAATGGAAACAGACTCATAAATGACATAGATATAGAATTAGTAGGGAAAAACACAAAACAGTTATTATTAATAATGTATTCCATTGTTCAAAAGCCAGAGGAAAGATGGAGCACATTCAATAAACACAATGCAAACATTTTTTAAAGACTCCAATCAATCATCTAGAAATGAAAACTATAATGTCTGGAATTTAAAAATCGCAAACAATTGAATGAAATTGACAGCCAACTGAACATTGCAAAAGACAAGATTAATAAACTTGAAGGTATATGACAGAAACGATCCAAAATGAAACACAGATAGAAAAAAGACTGAAAAAAAATAGAGCATCATTGAGCTGTGAGACAATTTCAGGAAACCCAATGTTATGTGCCACTGGAGTCCAGTAAAGAAGAGACAGAAGCAGGAAAAAAACCGTGAAGAAATAATGGTGGAAAATATTTCTAATTTGATGAAAACTGTAAATTCACAAGCCCAAGACTCAACTAATTCCAAGCATAACAAACATGAATAAAACTATATAAGGGTACATTATACTCGAATTGCATCTAACCAGTAATTAAGAAAAAACCCTTAAAAGCAACCAGATGAAGAAGACATGTTAAATACAGAGAAACAAACAACAGAAGACAGAGGTTACACCTCAGAAGCAATACAAAGCCAGAAGAACGTGAAGCAAAATCTTTAAAATCCTGAAAGATGAAAACTATCACCATGAAATTCTATATCTAACAAAAATTTGTTTCAAAATCAAAATCAGTAACAGTAGATACATAGGGAAAATCACAAATAAGGGGAAATTAAACAACATGCTCCTGAACAACCAATGGGTCAAAAGAAAAATGAAAAGTAAATATCTTTAGAGAAACAAAACTGGAAACAAAACACACCAGAACTTATGGGATATAGGAAAAGAAGTTTTGAGAGGGAAATTTACAGCAATAAATGACTATATTTTTTTAAAAAGATCTTAAATAAACAAACTAAGGTTACCCCAAGAAGCCAGAATAAGAAAAGCCAGCTAAGTCCAAAGTTAGAAGGAAGAAAATAACAAAAAATCAGAGCAGAAATAAATGAAATAGAGACTAGAAAAAATAGATTAATTTAACTAATGGTTGGTTTTTTGAAAAGATAAGCAAAATGGATAAATCTTTAGCTAGACGAAATAAAAGAGAGAACTCAAGTAACCAAAATTAAAAGTGAAAGAGGATACATTACAACTGATACCGCAGAAAAACAAAGGATCATAAGACACTACTGTTAACAATTATACGTCGAAAGACTGGAAAGCCTAGAAGAAATGGCTAAATTTCCAGAAACATACAACCTTCCAAGACTAAATTATAAAGAAATAGAAACTCTGAATAGATCAATGATGAGTAAGAAGATTTAATCAGTTATAAAAATTTTCCCATCAAAGTTAAGCCCAGGACCAGATGGCTTCAAGGCTGAGTTCTAGAAAACATTTAAAGAGTAATACTGGGCGAACGCTGTGGTTCATGTCTAATCCCAGCACTTTGGGAGGCTGAAGGGAATGAATTACCTGAGCTCAGGAGCTTGTGACTCAGTTTTACCAAAATGGTGAAACCCTGTCTCTACTAAAAATACAAAATTAGCCAGGCATGGTGGCACATGCCTGTAATCCCAGCTAGTTGGAAGACTGAGGCAGGAGAATCATTTGAACTCGGAGGTGGAGGTTTCAGCGAGCCAAGATCAAGCCACTGCACTCCAGCCTGGCAACAAGAGAGAAACTGCATCTCAAAAACAACAGTAACAACAACAATAAAACAACAAAAGAATGACTAATACCAATTCTTCTCAAACTCTCAATAAAACCGGAGGAAGGAATACTTTCAGACTGATTTTACAAGGCCAGCGTTACCCTGATGCAAGCCATACAAGAACACCATAAGAAAATAAAATTACAGGCAAATACCTCTGATGAATATAGTTGCAAACGTTTTCAATGAAATTTTAGCAAGTCGACTCAACAGCATTGTAAAAAGATTATTTACCTCTGTCCCGGGCGGCTCCCGAAGATGTCGGAGGTGCAGGTCCTGGTGCTTGACAGTCGAGGCGGCTTGGCGGCCATCACGGCTAAGCAGATACTGCTGGGCCGGAAGGTGGTGGTTGTTCGCTGCGAGGGCATCAACATTTCTGGCAATTTCTACAGAGGCAAGTTGAAGTACTTGGCTTTCCTCCGCAAGGGGGTGAACACCAACCCTTCCGGGGGCCCACTATCACTTCCAGGTTCCAGCCGCAACTTCCGGGTCCCAGCCGCATCTTCCGGCGGACCGTGCGAGGTATGCTGCCCCACGAGACCTAGCGAGGCCCTGCCGCCAGGGACCGCCTCCGACCGCCTCCAGGTGTTTGACGGCATCCACCCTATTGCAAGAAAAAGCGGATGGTGGTTCCTGCGGTCCTCAAGGTAGTGCGTCTGAAGCGTATAAGGAAGTTTGCCTGTCTGGGGCGCCTGGCTTACGAGGTTGGCTGCAAGTACCAGGCAGTGACGGCCATCCTGGAGGAGGAGGAAGGAGAAAGCCAAGATCCACTACCGGAAGAAGCAGCAGCTCATGAGGCTACGGAAACAAGCCGAGAAAAACGTGGAGAAGAAAACTGACAAATACACAGAGGTCCTCAAGACCCATTGACTCCTGGTCTGAGCCCAATAAAGACTGTTAATTCCTCATGCTTGGCCTGGCCTGCTTTCCTCCATCGTCGCCCTGGAATATGCGGGGCCCAGGGGCAGCCGCAGTCCGGGTGCCACAGGCAGCCTGGGCCATAGGAAGCACGGAGCAAGGAAACGGTCCAGTCACTGCCTGCCGAGGTTACTTGAAAGCGCTCAGAGAATTGCGCAGGTGTCATTTATCTATGACCAATTGGAAGAGCAACCAGTTACTATTAGCAAAGGGAGCCGGAAGACTTAATTGGAAGGGCCTTAGTTGTGAGTGGGGCGTCTATCTAACTTTCCATCTGGTCGTATACTATATACTCTGCAGCTGTTAGAATGTGCAAGCACCTGGGAACAGCATGAGCCTGCTGTTGTACAAAGGGTATTTATAGAAGCATAGACTGGGAAGATGGACAACTCTGAGGGGTTACAGGCAATGTCTGTGCCCCTTACCTGTGTTTTGTAATCAGAGTCAAATAAATTACTTTTAAAGAAAAAAAAAGATTATTTACCATGATCAAGAGGAATTTATCTCTGGGATGCAATTATGATTCCACATATACAAATCAATAAGTATGATAAATCACATTACTAGAATGGAGGATAAAAGCCATATGATCATCTCAATAGATGCAGAAAAAGTATTTCACCACATGCAATATCCTTTCATGATAAAAACTCTCAGCAAATTAAACTTAGAAGAAATGTATCTGAACACATTAAAAGTAATAGATTATTAGTCCACAATTAACATCATATTCAATGGTGAAAAGGTGAAAGCTATTCCTCTAAGATCAGGAAACAGGTGAGGATGGTTACTCTCACGACTTCTATTCAACATAGTCCTAGAAGTGCTCACCAGAGAAATAAGAGAAAGAAAGAAAAGGTGTCCAAAACAGAAGTTAAATTGTTTCTATTTACAGATAACATAATCTTATACACAAAAAATCCCAAAGACTCAACCAAAAAATTGTTAGAAATAATAAGTTCAGTAAACTTGCAGGATATAAAATCAACATACAAAAATCAATAATATTTCTATACACTACCAGCAACCTAACCAAAAAGAAAGCAAGCAAACAATCCCTTTAATGATAACAAAGCTATAGCAATAAAAAAAACCAAAAGAAAGTACAGTACTGATATCAAGATAGACAGATCAATGACGAAGAACAAACAGCCCCAAAATTGACCAACATATTTACTTTCAATTGATTTTTTTACAAAGGTGCAAAAGTAACTTGATGGAGAAAGAATCAGTTTTCTCCCAAATGATGCTGGGCAAATTGTATATGAACATGCAAAGCACCACTGTTGATAGATAACGTCATTGAAGTCTTTTCAATGGCAGTACCATGGCTGCTTTTTGGATATTAAGATTGCTGTCTGCCACTCCTGCTGGATCATCTATCCACTGCCACTGGGGCACCATGAAAGCTTCTAGTTCTCTGCCAAGTGCAGGATTGCCAGTCTTCCCTAGGATTTCTGCAAGAAGCAAAGGGAAGATACACCCACTATAGAAGAGGTAAAAACTCTAAGCCAAATTTACAATTAAAAAACTAACAACCCCATTAAAAAGTAGGCAAAGGATATGAACAGGCAGTTCTCAAAAAAAAAAAAAAGTCATACATGTGGCCAGCAAACATATGAAATAGAAGCTCAACATCTCTGATAGAGAAATGCAAATCAAAACCACAATGAGATACCATCTCATGCCAGTCAGAATGGTGATTATTTAAAAAGTCAAGAAACAATGGTTACTGGCAAGGTTGAAGAGAAATAGAAATGCATTTATGCTGTTGCTGGGGATGAAAAGTAGTTCAGCCATTGTGGAAGAGAGTGTGGCAATTCCTCAAAGATTTAGAACCAGAAATACCATTTGACCCAGCAATCCCATTACTGGGTATATACACAAAGGAATACAAATCATTCTATATAAAGATACATGCACACGTATGTTCATTGCAGCACTATATGCATTCATAATAGCAAAGACATGGAAACAACCTAAATGCCCATCAATGATAGACTGGATAAAGAAAATGTGGTATATATACACCACGGAATACTATGCAGCCATAATAGGAAATGAGATCATGTCCTTTGTAGGACATGGGTGAAGCTGGAAGCCATTGTCTTCAGCAGAAAACCAAACACCAAATGTTCTCACTTATAAGTGGGAGCTGAACAATGAGAACACATGGACACAGGGAAAGGAACATACCCTGGGGCCTATCGAGGGAGTGCAGCGGAGGGGAAGAGCATTAGAGAAAAGAGCTGATGCATGCTGGTCTGAATACCTAGTGATGGGTTGATAGGTACAGAAAACAACCATGGCATACATTTACCTATGTAACAAACCTGCACATCCTGCACATGCACCCTGGAACTTAAAAGTAAAATAAAGTGGATATAAACACCACTGCTGAACTGCCTCTGGGTTGCTATTTTAAGTCCAGTGCCTATGGGGTGGCCCTGCTCTGCAAGGAGCAGAACCTGTGCTACTGCTGTATACTGCCACTTCGAAAAAAGTTGCTTTAAAAGAAAAAAAAAAAAAAAAAAAAAACTCAAGTGTCTATAGGAATCAGGCAAGTGACACCAATAAGTGAGACAAACATGGAGGGAACAAACTGGTAAGTTCACTCTGGCCCAATCATCAAGTATTTCAAAAAAGGCTGAAAATCCTATTTTTGTGTAAAATCCCACAATGTTTAAGTGTTGGCAACCAAGTCAACATATTTTAAATACTGTCCAGGATCAGTAGACAAACTACGAATGTGTCTTGGGAAACTAATCTTCCTGGTCTGCATTTTGAGACGGGAGAAGATGAAAAGCAAACAAAATCTCGAGCCATTTCTCCCTTTCCTGGCTCTCACCTAAACACTCCATGTGACAGACAGACTTCCTCTTGCCTCCAGAAAGGCACAGCCCAAGTCCTCCTCTCTAGAAGGAGGGAAACAGCTCAGCCTGCCTGCCCACCCGCTCTGAGACATCACCCTTTCTGTACCCTTAAACCAAAACTCTGCTTCTCATTCTCATTTCCTAACCTTGCACATCCTTCAGGGTTCAATTTATGTCACCTATTCTAGAAATGTTGCCCGAATTCCCAAATCCAAGTCCCTAATACCTCCTATGTATCCCAATCCTAACATCTATCAAACTGTTTCCATTGTGTTTTTATTCATCGGTCTCCCCCAGGATCCTGTAATAGAGCAGGATGGTGTCTTGGATACCACTGATCTCCATTACCTGATCCAGTGTCTGGTAAAGAAATATTTATGAAATGAGTGAATAAACACATGTATCCTAGCTCTTTATTCTCACTTAGCTAGGCTTCTTTCCTAGGCTTGCCCTTCAAAGGTGGAGATGCAGGCTGGGCCAGGCACAATGGGTCATGCCTGTAATCCTAGCACTTTGGGAGGACAAGGTGGGAGGATTGCTTGTGCCAGGGGTTTGAGACCAGCCTGGGCAACATGACAAAACCCCGTACCTACAAAAAATACCAAACAAATATGTGGTTGTGCGTGCCAATAGTCCCAGCTACTCAAGAGGCTGAGGTGATCACGTGACCCCAGGAAGTTGAGGCTGAAGTGAGCTGTCATCACGCTACTGCACTCCAGCCTGGGTGACAGAGTGAGACCCTTTCTTAAAAAAAAAAAAAAAACAAAAAAAAAAGCCAACAGAAACCAAATGTGGACTGCAAAACCTAAAGAAAATACCTCAGACTCAACATATTCAAAACCAATATTCTTCTGTCTGTGGCAGATACACCAACCCTGTGCATAAATGTTCATATACTATGGTAAAAAAAAAAAAAAAAGAAAGAAAAAGAAGTAAACAGAACAAAACATGAAAATCCCATATTAATTCCTCTTTTTTTCACTCCACTGTCAACAGTTTGGTGAGCAACTTTTCCTTCCATTTTCTACACATTTCTATACTTTATATACATATATGTACATATACACACATGTAGCTTCTTATTTTAAACATACATGAGATCATACTATAGAATGTTCTGCCTCTTGCTTATTTACCTTCCTTGGTAAAGCTCTACCTATAGTCATACGTGTATCTTTTTTTTCTTTTTTTTGAGATGGAGTCTTTCTCTGTTCCACAGGCTGGAGTGCAGTGGCCCCATCTCAGCTCACTGCAACCTCCACCTCCCAGGTTCAAGCAATTCTCCCTGCCTCAGCCTCCCGAGTAGCTGGGATTACAGGTGCCCACCAGCACACCCAGCTAATTTTTGTAGTTTTAGTAGAGACAAAGTTTTGCTATGTTGGCCAGTGTGGTCTTGAACTCCTGACCTCAGGTGATTCACCTGCCTTGGCCTCCCAAAGTGCTGAGATTACAGGCATGAGCCACCGTGCCCAGCCAACTGAGCTATCTTTACCTCAATCTTTTTAATGGCTATACAGAATTCTATAAAAGACATATGTGCCATGTTTCATTTAACCACTCCTCAATTGAGGATATTTAAGCCATTGACTTTCATTTTCCAAGTCACATTTCTGTGTTTTAAATTTTCCTATAAATATGTAATGCTTTTTATGGCAAAAAAAAAAAAAAAAAAAGAGAGAGAAAAGTTTCAAAATAAGCAAAAATGCCCAGAGCGGTGGCTCACACCTGTAATCCCAGCACTTTGGGAGGCCAAGGCGGGCAGATCACAAGGTCAGGAGATCAAGGCCATCCTGGCCAACATGGTGAAACCCTGTCTCTACTAAAATACAAAATATTAGCCAGGCATGGTGGCACACCCCTGTAGTCCCAGCTACTCGGGAGGCTAAGGTAGGGGAATCACTTGAACCCGGGAGGCAGAGATTGCAGTGAGCCGAGATCGCGCCACTGCACTCCAGCCTGGTGACAGAACAAGACTCCATCTCAAAAAAAAAAAAAAAAAGCAAAAATACCATTTCTCAAGAGCTGGCAGTGTTGTGTTCCTCACGCATTGGAAGTGCCACTGTCTCTGGCCCTCAGGATTTCAGCCATGTCCTCTGTACCTTTTCCTCTGCAGGCAAGTCATTTGGAATAATGGCTTCGCACCACTCAGCTGGAGCTCACAAGACTCTCCAGCTATAAAGGCCTAGAGCTACATGTGAATTTTGAGAGCACTCAGCTCCTTTTACTGCACCTTGTCATTTGGAAACAAGTTAATAACAATCGCACGATAGGGTTGTTATGTACGGAGAAGGCTGAAGTAGAAGGCAGTCCTGAGGGGCGGAGGGGGTGCGGGGTGCTCTATATAATCAGACATTTCCCAAGAAAACTAGAAGCCATAGAAGAAAAGAGTAAGAATCTCCTTTCTTTTTTCTCTCTTCACAGATTTTTGATGTCAGGGTATGCAAGAATCATAGTCACCTGGGTGTTTGTTAAAGATACATTCTAGGAAAGAAGTCATTTTATGAAAAGGATAATTGCACAATTCACAATTGCAAAAGCATAGAAAAAGCCCAAAA